AGTCATGGGGGAGAACCAGGGGGCACCCTGGGCTGGGGGGCACCAGGGCCTGCAGGGCCCCTCTGAGGGCTCCCTGGGGGGCACTAGGTTGGGGAACACCAGGCACTGCCCATTCCCCTCTAAGAGCTCCCTGGGGGGCACTGGGTTGGGGGACACCAGGCACTGCCCCTTCGGCCCTTAGGGCCCCTGGGGGGCAGGTGCCGGCCGGCAGCACTGGCCCTACTGGGCCTCTCCCTGTTTGGGGGTACCAGTCCTTGTCCTCCTTGAGTCCCACTTGGAGGACACCAGGAGGAGGCAGATGGGCACAGCCAGGGTCAGCTTCTCTTGGCCCTGGGGTAGGATTAGTCCTTTCTGGCCCCAGGGGAGAGAAATATTCCTGGGCAGGATCAGCCCTCTTGGCCCTGGGGGAGGGAAATATTCCTGGGCAGGATCAGCCCCCTTGACCCTGGGGGAGGGAAATATTCCTGGGTAGGATCAGCCCCCTTGGCCCTGGGGGAGGGAAATGTTCCTGGGCAGGATCAGCCATTCCTGATCCTGGGAGAGGCAAATGTTCCTGGGCAGGATCAGCTCCTCTTGGCCCCAGGACAAGCTGCCTCACTGCAAGCCATGCCCTGGCTGGCGTGTCTGTATCCATGGTGTATCCATGGTGTATCCATGGGTGTATCCATGGATCCGTGGTATTCTCCCGCCCCCTCAGGCCGCGGGACGCTGTCGGATGAGCACGCAGGGATCATCTCGGTGCTGGCCCAACAGGCAGCCAAGCTGACCTCGGACCCCACCGACACCCCCGTGGTGTGCCTCGAGTCCGACACGGGGTGAGTCCCAGCCTGGAGCTCCCACTGCTCCTTCCCTTTCCCTCCCCCCAGCCCTGGCAGCTTCCCAGAGCCACATCCCTCCAGCAGCTCCTCATCCCGAGCTGAACTGGTGGCTGTGGGAGAAGCTCCAGCTGTGAAGCCATGGGAGGAGGCTGCAGGCACGTGGATGTGTTGGATTAGTGGGATTTGAAGAGGCAGGAGGCGTAAAAGCAGTGGGAAACGTGCCAAGGTGTGGTGGTTCCTGCAGCTCTGTGCTGCTTCCACACGTGGGATCCCTGTGGATAACAAAGCCCATGCTGTAGGAGGCAGTGTGGCAGTAAGGATGGCTCCAGCCCTACTCACAGAATTCCAGAGTCAATCAGGTTGGAAAAGAGTTGGAAAAGACTTCTGAGATCATCAAGTTCAAGCCATGACCTCACCCCACCATGGCAACTAGACCAGAGCACTAAGTGCCATGTCCAGTCTGGCCTTAACCACCTCCAGAGATGGTGACTCCACCACCACCTTGGGCAGCACATTCCAGTGTCTAATCACCCTTTCCATGAAGAAATTCCTCCTGATGTCCAACCTAAACCTCTCCAAGTGCAGCCTGAGGCTATATCCTCTCCTCCTGGGAGAAGAGACCAACCCCCACGTGGCTCCAAACTCCTGTCAGGGAGTTGTAGAGAGTGCTAAGGTCACCCCTGAGCCTCCTCCAGGCTAAACAATTCCCTGAGCTTCTCCTCATAGCACTTGTTTCCATGGAATGGGAGGAAGAGATGCAGCAACATCAGGAGCTGAGGTTGCTGCAGCTCAGGGATGATTCCCCTGTCCAGTTCCAGCCACTCCAGCTCCTCCCTGGCTGGCTGCTCCCTTCCCTCAGCACTTGGTCCTTGTTCCAGGAGCATCATGATCCAGAGGCATGACAGCATCACTGTGGCAGTGCATAAATTGGCATCCTGAGCTGTGGCAACCTGCAGCTCCTCACTCCCAGCTCCTTCTCCCTTCAAACCACCTCCAGCTCCAAGCCTGGGATGAAGCTTCTCCCTCTCCACCCAACAGCTCCTGGTCTCCAACTCCCATTATGGCACTTTTACTGCTGAGGATGAGCTGTGATCACTCCCCCAACTCTTGTAATCATCTACTCCAAGGTGTATGTGTGTGTTCCAAGAGGTGTGTGTGTATTCCAAGGGGTGTGTGTGGCATTC